TGATGTAACTTAGGATTTAATTTTCGGCCTATTTCCTCTTTTGTCTGCTTGTCCCACTCCACAATCCCTGTTCAGTCCTTTTTTCTAGTTGAAACAGTTCAGGGCTGGCTGTGGCCGTTTGGTTTTAATTGGAAACTGTCTCTTTTAAATTTTCTTTTACTTTCTTAGAGCACATTTTCCTAAGCTAAAATGTAGGAACCAGATTGTTTCCAAGCTGCTTCTCAAATATATTTGAGGACTGAGCTAGAATTTTGGAGTTCTGTTGTGGTACTGTGGTATAATGCACTGGACTACAAAGTCAGTTTCCACTATGGAGTGGGTGGTTAAAAGTCACCAGTCGCTCCTTGGAAACCCTATACAGAGATGCTATGAGTCTGAATCGAGTTAACTGCACTTAATAACAACAGCCTAGAACTTTAAGGGAAAACAAAACAATAAGTATATCTTATGTGAAAGATTTGAGAGATACTTTTGCTGTTGCTGTTGTAGGTAAGTGCCATCAAGTTGGTTCTGACTCAGAGTGACCCCTCAGAGGATTTCCAAGGAGCTACTGGTAGGTTTAAACCATTGACCTTGGGATTAACAGTCCCACATTTCTCCTAGAACATGACCACACCAAGACTCTTTGAGAGATATTGTTATTGTTATTGTTAAGTGCCGTCGAGTCGGGTTCTGACCCATAGTGACGCTGTATAGGGTTTCCAATGAGCATCTGGTGAACTTGAACCATTGGCCTTCCTGTTCAAGCGGACTTTGCAGTCCAGCACATTAACCAGCAGCACCACACCAAGACTCCTGAGAGATACTAGAAAATGTTATTTAAAATAACTAATTTTGAAACTGATGATCACCTTTTGACTGGATTGTTGTTAAATACCGTCGAGTCGGTATGGGCCCATAGCAACCCTGTATAGGGTTTCCTAGAAGCGACTGGGGGGTTTGAATCTCTGATTTTGCAGTTCAAACTGACTTTTTCATCCAGCGTATTATCCTGCAGTCATACCAGTACAGCAGAAAGTAAAAAGTAGCAATAGATTTGTAACAGTCCTGCCAGTCTTATCATTTTCAGCTATTAAACCAGTAAATCATTATGGTCACCTTTGGTGTGGCACTGTGGGCTAATGTGCTGGGCTGCAAGCTTGGTTTGAATTGCAGGGTCAGCAGTTTGAGTGCAGCCAGGGTGCTCCTTGGAGGCCAGGATGCCCAAACTTCGTTTTTCAGACTTCGGACATATTGTCAGGAGGGACCAGTGGCTGGAGAAGGATATCACGTTTGGTAAGGTGGAGGGTTAGAGGTAAAGAGGAAGACCCCAGCGATATGGATTGACAAAGTGGTAGCATCGATGGCTCAAGTGTGGCAACAATTGTGAGGTTGGTCCAGGATTGGGCAGTGTTTCATTCTGCTGTGCATAATGAGTCGGTACCCACTCGATGGCACCTAATAACAACAACAACAACAATCAGGCTTCAGAAAGAAATGTAGCATTATTGTGGAAATTTTTATAAATTGAGTAGTCTTTACAACATTTTTTCTTGTTAGAGTATTTTATGACATGCATACATGTTATTTCGTTTCTTATAATAAAAAGTGACAATAGTTAGAAATATAAATTCAAAATACTGTGCACATGTACTGAACTATAGGAAACATCTATTGCAACAAGTTCTTTGGATTGTAAGAAATTTTGCAGCATATTGTTGTCATTATCTGTGTATAGTGGATTCCAACTCATAGTGACTCTATATGACAGTAGACCTGTCTAATCAGGCATCCGTAGTGGTAATCTTTATGGAAGCAGACCTCTGTGTCTTTTTGCCAGCAGAATCACTGATAGATTTGAACCATCAATTTTTGGTTAGTAGCCAAGGCTTGACTATTGAGCTATCAGGCATCCTTGTTTTCACAAACATAGCTGCTACTATTTTATGCAGTGTATTAACTGAAAAAATGTTTGCAATGTATAGAAAATAAGGGATAATTAGATGCTGCTGCATTAAGTCTAGATAATTATGTCTATCTATCTATCTATCTATCTATCTATCTATCTATTTATCTATCTATCAGCTATGTATCTATTTATCTGTCTTCTATCTATCTATACACACACACACACACACACACACACACATAACTTTTATTTAAAATAAAAGCAATATGTTAAAATAATTTTTATTGAGTTCTCAATCTGGAAATCTAGACCAATATTTCACACTCCTTGCTACACATTTTAATCACCTGGAGAGCTTAGGGAGAAGCAAAAGAAAAAAGGCCCATGTCTGATTCATACACCCGGAGTCTGATTTAATTGGTTTGGGGTCACACCCATATACTGACAGTTTTAAAGAGCTCCTTTAGTTGATGCCATTGTGTAGCCAGGTTGAAAACCAGTGATCTAATCCAAGTGATTTATTTAAAGCAGCCATAATGAGGTGGGTGACTAATAAAATTGTGCTCATTTTGTAGCTTTCCAGAGGCAGGTGTCCCAGTTTACGCATTTTCCATGCCCTTCGCTGCTACTGCTCTTTCATCTGTCAGATTTCCCTTTGCCCTCCTCTCCTCATCACTAGGCAGGTGGCCCCGGAGAGAGAGGTAAATGTGGCACTCAGGTTCCCTCTGTGCTACTGCACCTGAACTGCTGCTGTAAATCCAGAGTGGAAATTCAATCGGAGGTTGAAACAGAATTTGCATTCATTTCAAAATAAAATCTTTCATCCCTCCATTAGGCTTGATTATATGAGTAAATATGGTTATCATTTCTGAATGTAAGTAGAATAAAAATATTTTCACACTGAGAAATATATAAAGGAATTTTGATGAACTAATATTTCTTGATAAAGATTTACAACAAGGAACTTAAGATGCAGGGATGGTTTACGTACTTACTTGCTTAAATATGCTTCTTTACCTTTTGCAAATGTGTGTTTTCAACAGCAGGAACTTCAAATACAGATTTTGACATTACCGAGCCTGATGTTTATTCTCTTGCCATTGAAAAAATGGAAGGAAACAGCTTTTGTGAGAAAAACTTAACAGAGGAAAGTATAGATATAGAAAGCAACCCAAAATCTACTGATTCCTGCATACCATTTGAGAGCAAGGATTCTTTGCCAAGTATGGATTTAGAAGACGCTTCCATTAAGGAGAAATTATCCCAATCCTTTAACTTTAGCAATCTGCACAAGAAGCCGAACTTACAAGATTCTAAAACTACTGAATCACCACTGGTAAATTTCTGTAATGTTTAGTACATAAAAAAAATTGATAACAAGTTGCTTAAAAAGATTTTATATTGAAACAATACCCTTTTAAATGTACTTTGATGGAAGCTCAAATGTGATACATTATATTATTATGAGATAGTGGAAGAGTGGCTCATATGCGAAAGAATATTAATGACTTACAGGACAAATTCTAATATGGTAAATGCCATTCTAATAAATGGTTTCCTATGACAAATAATATGTCAAAGCCCATCTCACGAACCACAGTAAGAGTGCTGTTACTTTCCTAAATGAAATTCATTATTATGAATAATTTAGTATAATAAATCCTCTTTCTAGCTTTTTTCTGCAAAACAGTTACTGGCAAAATGGAATGTGTGCTGATATGTAGTGATAATCAGTTTCTGTTACTTAATTTAAGTGTAAGGTGAAACATGTAATGCTATTAGGAACAAGGTTAGCATTTCATGTTTGTCTCTTCTTAGTGGAAAATTATAGTTTATTATTGCTATTTTAAAAACTGTATTTGAATTTCTCTTCTAAATACTAGCTGTCTTAATCATGACTGTTGATAATGCTATCTTTGGAAACTGGATAGATAGCAAATATTTTTTTGCCATTCTAAAATTATTTGAAACAAATTCTAAAGGTGCCTAAATTGAAAGGGGATCTTCTCCTCCCAGAGCATAAGAATAAATACTTAAATGCTGCTTCTTCAACTGGCAGATTATATTTCTCAGCCCATTTGTTTTGTATCTTATAGTTATGCGAACTGAGAAACTGAAACGAACACCTCTGCAAAAATTTTTGCTGTTATTGTTTAGTGCTGTCAAATTGGTTCTGACTCATAGCAACCATGTCTAGAGTTTCCAAGGAGCATCTCGTGGGTTTGAACAGCCAACCTTGTGGTTCAAACCAACCTTGCTGTACAGTGCATTACCGTACAGTGCCACACCAGGACTCCAAAAATCTTGTGGTTGTTGTGAAGTGCCGTCGAGTCGGTCCTGACCTAT